AAGGCACCCTCATAACACAATTGGAGCACCCGATAAATATTAACCAAAAAAAAATCAATGAAGAAATACATCCTGTTTCTGAACCCTGAGCTCTGTTGTGCTAGGAACTAGAATCACAATGTAAAGATGAAAAAAAATGGAGCTTGCAATGGACACAGTAGTCTACCTCTTAATCAAAAAAATAATTGATTCCCAGTGTTAAGGCTATTGTGTAAAAGAGTAAGATATATAAAAATAGAACTTCCAGAAAATTTCTTTGATCAAATTGGGAAATATACTTGTTTCTGCACTAAAAAACCACACTCTGCAAGTTGGACATTTTTGTCGTGTTCTGTTAATATGTTCTTTGCATTCAGTGAGGTAAAGGGGAGTCACTTCCTGTCCAGGGGTGCCAGCTGCTGAGACCCGCAGAACACGGCTTCAGTCCTCCCTGAGCCATGCCCACATCAGACCCCTGCTTCACGGCTCCAGTCACCACGGTATCCCCCCTCCCAACACACCTACTTCCTCAAAGGCTGAGAACAGGGCACCCCAGAGTCAAGACTTAGAGTGGCACCACTGCAAAACCCCACAGGTATCACAACAGCCTTGGCACGCAGGAGCCCTGCCCACCAGGTCCTTCCTGGCCAGGAGGCCCAACTGCAGAACCCTCTCCCTCTCCTCCAGTTCTCACCTGCCCCTTTTGGAGTAGGCCCTTCCCCGGGGCATCCATGTTGATGTTCTGTGACTACTGTAATGAATCACTCCAAACAGGTGACTTCAAACAAGAGAGATTTATCCTCCTGCCGTCCCGGAGGCAAGATGACTGAAATCATTATCACTGAGGCCTCAGAGAAGACGTTCCTTGCCTCTTCTGGATTCCGGTGGCCATATCACCCCAATTTCTGCTTCATCTTCCGTGAACTTCTCTCCCTGTCTGTCAAGTCTCCCTCTGCCTGCCTCTCATGAAGAATGACATCTGTAGCTGCATTTAGGGCCTGCCAGATAGCCAGGATAATCCCCTCATCTCAGGATCCTTAACTTAAATCACTTTTGGGAAGACTCTTTTTATCTATAAGGTGACAGTCTTCACAGGATCCAGGGGCTATGACCTGATCGTTGACAGGCTGCAGCATCCCTCCTCCAGGATGAGCTGGGAGGCCTCTCCTCCTACCCCGCCACTTGCCCCCGCGCTCAGTTCTTTTCTGTGGATTATGCAAAGCAAAGCTTTCCCAGGGGATGGGTTTGGTGCTGTCAGTACTGATCTCCCGAGCAAAATCTGGAAACCTCCGATGTGGTCTGACATTCTGAGTCCCAGAATCCAGCTGCAACCGCAGCCCCATCCTCCAGATAGTTAAGAGGATCTTTAGATCCCAGAGGAAAAAGGATGTCAAAAAGCAAAGGGCTGCCCCAGGGGCCCTAGGGAGTCCTGCTGGGATGGTGAGCAGGTAACAGAGAGCTGGATCGCCCCAGGATGGGGAGAAGAGGGTGGAAATGATGCTTTTCTGAGTGACAGTTTCAAGAAGGGATGCTCAGAAGTGCCAGGGACACTCCTCTCTCCTCTCCCCCCAGCTGCCCTCTAGGAAGGACTGCACCTCTGGAACATCTGCCAAACTTTGGTTTGACAAATACTTGCAGAAAGAAGCCCATTCTCAGAAGCCAACAACACGATGGATGAGGAAACAGGGCTAGGTGGCGACTTCAGGCCCTCTCTGCCCCAGTCCCACCCTTCTTGGGGTCTTGGGTCTCTGTAAGCAAGAGCCCTCCTCATAGACCAAAACTCCCAGCCTTGCCTAGCCAACGTTTCGAGGATCCAGAAGCTGTGAGCACACTGCTCCTCAGGCGATGCAGCTTTGTTTCTGAACCTGCATTTGAAGGCAGCAGCCTGACTCCCGCCTCTCCAGCCCAAGGGGCCTGTGAAATCCTCAGAGCTGCTGAGTGGGAAGACCCTACCCGACAGCTCTGCTTTGGGGTGACCTCTCGGTGGGAACGAAGCAATTCATGTTGGGCCTGGGGCTCGGGTCTTGGAATAACCACAAACCTAATTTCTATCTTCTTCCTATTAATCAAGTGCAGGTGTATTGCTAATACTGGTCAACCGGGGTTCTGTCTGCTGCCCACCAGGGTGGGGCATTTCAATTTGACCCTCTGCTCGGCCCTAACAAGAGGCCCCGCAGAGGTCCCTGGCTGGGGCCTGGCAGCAGAGCTACAGGGATGCACACACAGCCCTGCTCCTTCCCCAGGATCTCGCAGCCCCCCTCCTTCCCTGCCAGCAGCGACTACCCAGCACATAATTGCAAAAGGAAAAGAGCCGCTTGTTTGCTGCCTCATCCGGGAATGATTAAAGGTAGAAGTTTTTCAGACATTAGCCACAGAAAGAGTATAGTTAAAGCTGCTTTAAAAAGGGAGAGGCGTATAAAGAGATGGTACTCAAAGCACTATTAAAAGCATCATGCTTGTTAAAACCAGTAAAAAGGCCGGGAATCGGCCAGGGAAGGCAGCTTCCTCTCCAATTACCGCGAGGGGCACACACCTTGACGGTGTCTTTGAATTGTGGCCGCCAGCCCCTGCCCCCTCCCCTCCGCGGCTGCCCCCTCCCCGGGCCATTCATCCGGCACATTAGGGAGGAGGCGGGAGGTGACAGCGCTCCCCCAAGTTCACTCCTCGCTTGTTACAGGCGACCCATTTAGAGCTGAATGACTATGTTCAGAGACGGCACAAAATGACACCCTCCACCTCTTCATGAAGCCACTTGGTTTTGTCTTTTTTTTTTTTTAATCCAGGAGAAATAATTGATAAACCGAACGAGCAGCCGAGCACCTTAAAGGAGGGCGCCTCCCTCGCCACCTGGTTAAAATTCCTCCTCCTCTCCCCACCTCCCTCCATCCATTTTGCTCGGTGCTGTTTAAACAATACTTCATCAAATGCAGCCTGGAGCAAATAAGAAAGCTCAGTAGAGTAAATAAAAAGTCAAAAAAAAAATCACCGGCTGGAGGGTAAGTACTTTTATTCCTGTACTTTCATTGCCTGGGGAATTATTATTCCATCGCCCGATCTGGGAGGGAGGGCGGCCGAGGAGGGCGGTGTTATTCACAAAATGGATTGCTTCTCTCCTTTTTCACTCCTCTGGCTCTCGAGAGCCCACTGATTACAACCAAGTGTGGCCATCCATTCCGTCTTATTGACAAAGGTCCTTAATTACCACGGCAGCAGTAATACCTGCTATTAAATTCTGCTAAACAGAGGCCGCAAATTAGCTGCGGATCTCAGGCACCTTTTGTGTGTAATTACGGGAGTGGGATTGACGGGAGGCCAGATAACTGACCCCAGCCGGAGCAGCGGGGAAACCTTTGTTTATCACCTGCGGTGGGGGCCAAAATGTGAAATTAAAAGCTCTCCATCAGCTGAAGGCCTTCGCAAGGCCCAGGGGAAGAAAAAAGGAGGGGAAGGGAAAAAAAAAAAAAGCAACAGGCCAAAGCAAAGCATGCTTACCGGTGTTTATAAGCATTCTCTGGCCTGCAATTTACACTGACAGTTGATTAACCGAAAGCTCTACTAATTCTGTAGGTAAGTAATGCAAAGTCCAAAATGGCAAAAATTTCGGCCACATTTTAAGGTATATTCTATATTTCACGGAGGCCTTTAACCTGCATTTAAGAGCCTGTTTAATGCAATTGCGGGCCATAAACACCTGTCACTTACAGTCTGAACTTTTCACATCGCTCCTTCTGGAGCCCCTGGATTAATGAGAACCGTGCCAAATACGGTAGCTCTCATCTGCAGCCGGCCCAATTTATAAATTCAATCCTGACGCCTACTTGGTGTTTCATTGAAGGCAATTACTTTGGGGGAAATTTCATTTAAATATATTCAACTTTCCTTTCCATTAAGGTGGAGGTAGGGTTAGCTGCCCCAAGCTTGCAGAGAACAATGAGTGGTCGGAATGCAATAACTTAACACAAAATGCTTAACATCAAGATAATTAAATTTCATTAAGGTTTTAATCACTATGAATGGAGGCTATTAAAATTCATGGGGTTCCTATCACACTACAGACAATGGGCCCTGGGCCCTGAACAAGCCTGGAAAGCCCACTTAAATGCTTGTCCCAGAAAACAAGTAACAACTGGGCAGTGGAGCTTTTCCTCCAACCACCCTTGAATAATGACCAGTTCTTGGACAGTGTCTGGGGGATCTCAGAAATGGGGTGCCCTAAGCCCAGTCTAGTATTTAACTTCTTGTTGGAGCCCAGTATGAAATCTTTATCTGCCGTTCATGAAATGATAGAAATTTAGGTGTATGTCATTTGGCCCCATACCTTCTTTGCACAGGTAAGGAAGAACTTAAGGACCCAGGCAATGAACACATCCTCTTGTTCAGGTCTGGGCCAAATACCACCTCCTCTGGAAAACCTTTCCTGTTCTAGGAAAATTTCAATGCTCTCCTTCACAGCATGGAGGATAATACCTCTCTGAAATCATTAGCTTATTACACAATAATTGTGTGATATTCTTCCCATTATACACAAAGTCCCATGGAGATATTTGGATTTCTATTCCCCAGTATACTGTGGATGTTTGGTAAGGATGGATAGAGGGATGGATGGATGGATAAACAGGAGATAGGTGGATGGATGGATGGATGGACTGATGAGATAGTGGAAGGATGGATGGATTACAGGGTAGACAGATAAATGACTAAACAGACACAAGGATGAACCGATGGGCCGTTCAGTGTAGCAAAGCCTAGACTCTTCATTCCTCTCCTCTCAGCCCACAGTTACCTCTTACACACATAGCTCAGCTCAGCTCAGCTCTTCCCTTAGACTGGAGCGTCTTACCTTGCCAATCCTGTTCTACAGTCCTCGTGTCCTTCTCCCGGTCTCCCACACATCACGTTTTCATCATGGTAAAGAATTTTCCCTCACCCTTCACAGTCTCACATGGATTCATTCATAGAACTCACTCAACATCTTCCCTGATAGGAACGGTGCCCCTTGTGGAGCACTGAGAAGTTGCAGTCTCTGCCCTCTGATATCTTCAAGTCTAGGAAACTAATAGCTTTCATGGAAGAGTAGGCAAGTAAGACAATGAAGTGGCTGACATCAGGAGAAAACGGCCTGCTTTGCTCCCACAGCCAGATGCTCTGGTCCAACTTCCTCCAGGCAAGAGGGTACCTAATGCAATCACCCTGCCTGAATTTGTTCTTTTATTCATTCTTGTTGCCATCAACCTCCTCTTGCCAGGAAAGATATGGCCTCAGGCATATGCACCAGGCAGAAATTGGAGAATGTTTGTAATTCAACATGGTGAGAGATATGGAGAACATACTCTGGGGACCAGAGCAGTGCATCTTGAAAGGTAGGTAAGCATTTGCTAAAGAGACGTATTGTTTTTCCAAAGTAAAAGAGCCAATAGGACAGATAGAAAGGGATTCACTATGAGGATTGGCTCATAATGGCCAAGAAGTTCTACAATTGCCATTTGCAAGTTGAAGACTCAGGAAAGTAGATGATGTAGTCAGAGTGATCCCAAAGGTCTGGGAGCCAGGAGAGTTGATGCTCTCAATCCCAGTTTGAGGACAAGAAAAGACAACATCCCATTTAGGCAGGAGGGGTGAACTGTTCCCTCCTCCAACTTTTATTCTATTCAGACTCTCAATGGATTGAAAGATTCTAATCCACATTGTGGAGGGCCATCTGCTTCACTAAGCCCAATTCTATGCTAATCTTACCCAGATACATCCTCACAGACACACTCAGAAATAATATTTGGCCAAATATCTGGGCACCCAGTACCCAGTCAAGTTGGCACATAAACATAACAGTAAAGGAAAGAAAGGTTTAATCGCAGCAGAGGGTCAGGTCAAGCTGGAAAATCTAAGCAAATCCACCAATAGGAGGGAGAGCCACAGTCATCACAGGATAAAGTTCAAACTCAGTGAACCAGGAGTCCTGGCTTGCCTTGGTCCCCATGTGTTCCCAGATGTCAAGAGTTAACTGCCTGGGGGCTGGGGTTGTGGCTCAGCAGTAGAGCACTCGCCTGGCACATGTGCAGCCCTGGGTTCAATCCTCAGCACCACATAAAAATAAATAAAATGAAGATATTGGGTCCAACTACAGCTAAAAAATAAATATTAAAAAAAAAAGTTAACTGCCTGGCTTCTGACAGGAAGGGGGGTCACAGGCCTCGAGAGGAGCTAGAGACCAAGGCTGTGAAGAATGGAAGAGCAGGAGCCATCTGTACTGCCAGCTGGGGGTGGTGGGAATGGGAAAAGAGATGGCCAACAGGCCCTGTGCAGAGAGCTTGAGCACCAGGCCACGGGATTAGATGTGGCTATTCAGGGGCCTCACCAAAGGGCCTGAACCAGGGAGTGATGTGACAGGACTCTGTTTAGAAAAATTTATGAATTTCCATTTTGGCCTGTTCATTTGGGGTACTATCGAATAGGCCAATTAGGAGTTCTGGGGACTGTAGGAGATTTACAAAAATAATTTTCAAAAGCCAGGTTTAAAAGTTCCACACCTGGGGGCTGGGGTTGTAGCTCAATGGTAAAGCACTTGCTTAGCACATGTGAGGTACTAGGTTCAATCCTCAGCACTGCATAAAAATAAATAAAATAAAGGTCCATTAACAACTAAAAAAAAAAAAATTCCACACCTAACAGGGCACACACAGGTGTCAAGGGAGACATAGCAGCAACAGGTAACACCAAAGCCTATTCTCTGTCTATAAAATAAATCATCAGTGAGTTGCCTGTCTCATTAGCATACAAAGCTCAGTCCAGCTAAGCCCCAGCATTAAATTCCATCCTCCACCATTTGAGTTAATATCAATTTAAAGAGTTTCTGGCACAAAACCACAGCCAACAGAGCTCAACTATTAGAAATATGTGAGGTTTTAGAAGAAGCAACCCAAAGCCCACCCTTTTAAAAAGGGAAAGGTCAACCCTAGGTCATATTAGAAATTATCAGAAAGCACTGATTACATTGTTAATAGGGCAATGAGGAATATGAAAGGAAATTAAACAGTATTGACAAAAGGATTTTCCTAATTATCCCATTAGGGATAATCCAGGTTTCTTTTCTCAGCTTGATCTATTCCTCCCAGAGGCCCATCTCATAGTTTGTTTTGTGGCATGTTTGGTGTTTGAACTTTGGAATGAGGCCAAAAGGATAATTTAGTGATCACCTTTTCTCTCCTTGGGCCTACAACACAGAACTGTGTAAGCCCACAGTCCCAGACTCTCTACATCAGGACAGAGTAGCCTTTTGCAAAGCAGGGATACCCCAGTTTGGGCAACACTTAGAAACTCCATCTGGGTAAAAATTAAATTTTAGTTTCAACACTCCAGAAGTCCTTCCTTAAAGGAAACTTTTGCATAATAAATAAATCCCCATTTACTACTTCGCCCTTTTGGTAAAATTATTTTAAATCTGGATCAAGCTTCTCCCAGCAATGAGACAATGTAAAGTTCTAAAGAACTCCCTCCCAGTTGTTACGCCCAGAAATGCCGGGTAAAATGAAGTACACAGATGACTGTAAAGAAAGAGAGGAAATCTCCAGGGGCCAGTAATTAAGAGGGCATTTGAACCAGAATGGCTAACACAGAAGGGAACAGCTCAAGGTCCAAGAGGGTACCATACCCACACAGCCTCCCCAGCTCAGGACTAAAGGAGTCAGGGCTCTGGCCCACGCTGAAAGAGAATCACAGCATAACAGAGGGAACCCTGGAAGCCTGCCCCTCCATCAGAAAGTGACTGGAAAATTCCTGTCTCGCTCGGGAAGAGGCAAAAAAGGAACATCTTCTGATGAGGCTCAGCAGGGGTAGAGGGAAATGTCTCCCATCCTCCAAGCAGTCAATACCCCAAGCACAGGGAGGTGAGGGTTCCAACTTTGCTCAATCCACATGATACAGGAATCTAAAACAATCAATGTGTGACTGTCCCAGCAGAAAAAGCCGCCATTGCTGCAGGGAAACAGGCCCACACACTGCGGGGGTCGTTGCAAGATGGGGGCCAGCCCTGGGAGGGGAACCAGCCCCATCTAACAAATTTGCCCTTAACTAGCAATCCTATTTCTAAGAATTTATCACCAGGGTATCCTGGAAAAAATGCAAAGCCATGTAATCACAAAGCTATTTGTTTCAATGTGGATTATAATACCTACATGGTACAAAATTTCCAACACCTAGAATAATATCACAATGCCATACTGTGCAAACAAAAAAGTATGCTATCTTTCTCTGAGAAAAAAACAAGTGTTTGTGTGTTTTTTTGCTTATATTTCCAAAAAGAAATGACAGAAAGATAAACCAAAAACTCATGAAAATGGTTACACATAGAAGGAAGGAAGAAACAAAATAGAGGGGAAAAGATGGAAACAAAACTTCTGTATCTAACCCCTATTATATACTGTAATTGTTTTTTAGTTTAGAACCGCGGTTTGCATGGTTAAAAAGACAAAAAAGCAAAAATCTTAAAAACTTGAAAACATGCTGAAGCAAATGCATGTAACTATATATCAAGTGGGTGGTACAGACAAACAGAGCAATTTCTAGACAGTTGTTTCAACTGACTATAACACACAGTGTTATGACTGTATATCCCTAGTGGAACATAATCTAAGGACAAAAATAACTGAAAAGAAATCTTAAGCTGTGTTCAGTAGTTTATTTATCATATAAACATGGCTCTTGTTATTTTGAAGCCATTAATTATACAATCTACAATAAAATCAAGGGTGATGTTAGTCTAACAGAATCAAGGTTTTCATCATAAAAAAGAGACCATATGGCCAGGCCAGCTACTGGAGAAGCTGACACAGAAGGATCTCAAATTCAAAACACCGTCTCTAAATTTGAACTTAAATGTTAGTATAACTTTATAGTTATTCATCTTTTTCAAAAAAAATTACACATTTTAGCTTTCTTTACTGAAAAGCCTAAAAACATGACAGTCCACTAGCAAGGAGCACACCACATGCCCACCCTCCACCATGTCCCAGAGGCACCAGGTCTGAATGGGGAAATGAGTGATCTCAGGGATGGGTATAAAATGTACAAGATTAATCTGGGTATCTTTTTATGCCAAAAAACAAAGTTGTGATAAAGAGCTGCTGGAGTTGGACCAATAAGACAGGAACCAATGTGAAGAGCTAGGAAACCAGTTGGCTTAAAAAAAAAAAAAATCTTCTTGGGTCACCTTTATAGAAGATAGGTACTTCAATCCATTATTCTGAAAATTAGTAAATAAAGAGGAAAATATTAGAAAAATCACCATTTTACAATTCATAATGGAATAATGAATGATAAAAGCATTGAGTAGACCCATGTTGATAGCAACACTATCCACAACAGCCAAAAGACAGAAGCAACCCCAGCATTCATCAATAGATCAACAAAAAATGGCATATACATACAACAAAATATTCAGTATTCACATACATACAACAAAATATTCAGTATTCACAAATTAAGTCCTGTCATTAGCAACAATGTGGACGAACCTTGAAGACATATGCTAAAAGAAATAAGCCAGTCTCAATAAGACAAATTCTACATGATCCCACTTACATGTGGTACTGGAATAATCAGATTCATAGCAACAGAAAGAAGAATGGCGGTTGCCAGAGGTTTCACAGTTCTGAAGGCTGTGAAGTCTAAGATCTAGGAACCACCAGGTTGTCCGGAGGATGCTTTCTGCTTCCAAAATGGCACCTTGTAGCTGCTGTATCCTGCAGAAGGACAAGTGAGCTTCACGCTGTGCAAATCCTCCTTTATAAGGGATTTAATCCCATTTACAAGAAGGAGCCCTCATGATCTCACCACCCTTAAAAGCCCCACCAACTCTTAGCACCTTCCCATTGGCAATCCTCTTGGATTTCAGAGGGGACACATCCAAACTGTCGCAGGGATGAAGGGAAACTTCTGGAGGTGGATTGCAGCGATGGCTGCACCGTGATGCAGACATGCTGAATGCCACTGAACTATATTTCACTTTTAGAATATTTAAAATGGGGGCTGGGTTGTGGCTCAGCGGTAGAGCGCGCATCTAACTCGTGTGAGGCCCTGGGTTTGATCGTCAGCACCACATAAAAACAAATAAATAAAATAAAGGTGTTGTGTCCAACTACTAAAAAAAAATGTTTAAAATGATAAATTTTATTATGTATATTTACCTATATTTATATATATTTGACCCCAATTTTTTCTTTTTTTTTCTTTCTTACTTGACCATATGTTTTTTAAATAAAAGTTCTTGTTTTATAATGAAGCTGGTATCACCTGAACCCTGATAAATAAAAAATGGAACACAGACATTTCTATGCCGATTAATGTGATCCAATCAGGCCACATCTCC